GTTTGCAGAGCTAGTGTGTGCACCAGCGATCGCGACTACGCTCTTAGAAGCAAAATGCATAGTTGTTGCTCGAGCGACACCTGCGTTCCTCTCGCCCCCTCGCTCAGTATTTTTTAAGGCTTTTCCAAGATGGGCAGAGTGCTTCCTCTCTGCTTCGGCTACAGCCCTCTCGGGCGGGGATATTGGATGCTATCGCACGCGCCCTCCGAGCGGTGCAAATGAGCCGGATCGTTTGACCTCTACTTCAGCCGCGTTCGTTTCCCCTGCTTGCGCTGAACTGTTTGCAAGCGTCTTCTGCTGCAAAATGCATGCGCAACACTATGTACGTCTGCAGAAGTTCAGCAGTCAGAGTGTCTTTGTGTGTACAGCATCCAACTCCTTGCACAACACAGCACTTGAGCGAACCCAGGATGTATCAGAAGGTGTCCATGCAGAGGCTGTTTTCTTGCAGCAGAGAAGAGATCTTGCTTTTAACGGCTCTAAACATGTTGAAAAGCGCCAATGATGGATATTTAAGGCGCCCCTCTTTGAATTCTCTCTCCAGTGTCAGAAATGCTTCTGGGCACTGCGTATGCGATGACTGGATTTCAGTGATGCAGGCTGCACACTTTTCATGCTTCAAAAAAGAGTGCACAAGATATCCACACAAGTAGTACACAACGCAATCTTGTGCAGTCGGTGTGCTGTCTGAATGGTCTGGCGCAGTGCACTTTTTGCCCGAAGCAGCCTCCGGAGAATTGCAGATCTCCAACAGCTTCGTCTTGATCTCATCTTGCAGCCGTTCATGTGTTGCCTGCCGTTCTTTCTTTCCTGCCTTCATCGTTTCTTGGACAGCAGCAAGCACGAGAGTTGGCTCTGGCACAACATTACCAACGATGCAAGTCTTGACAGGGGTGTACAGACTTAAAAGTCTGTATATGTGTGAAAAGCTCACAATTGTCGGGTGGTCTTCATCCCCTCTGAAGGTTCTGGTGACTCCGAAGAATCTCTGAAAGACATTGAAAAGATGGTATGACGTCTGTTTCAGAGGTACAGTCCCGAACATAGGTCGTCCTCTCCTTTGGTAGAGCGAATCTCTGGATTCTCTGCCTGTCTTGCTTTCGGAGGTTTTCTTTTCGGTGTCGTCTTCGGTTTTGACAAGTCAACCAGGATATTAGGGAAAATCCGGGGAACCGCCTCTGGCCTAATTGCCCACCTTCCACGCGGAATCTGAACTGCGCTGCCGCAAATGACGTGCTTGTAACATGTGACGAGGTCCTGAGGTTCAAAATGTACATCGCAAATGTAGGTCTTCGTCGTCACTTTGAAATTTTTTCGAGGAATGGCAGCAGCCCAAGCCTTCAGCACTTCAGGGTCGTTTGGCGGTTTGAAGAAATGACGCGGAACGGCAGACTTCTCTCGCGAGCCTTATCCACTTCGACAGCCGGCGCGCTGCAGGTCGGCATGGCAATGATGTGTTAGCCTCGGCCCACAAGACAATGGCACATGATGAACGAGTAAGACACCACACTGCCGCACGAGAGACGAATGCACAGTAAACACCGCGACTCAACGCAACGCGGGCAGCCGGTCGCCCTCCGCCGTTCTCAACGCGACACCAGCGCTGCTCCTCGGCTGGGATACGAAATGTGGCCGCCTCCGGCGCGGTGTTTTCCAACTGACCTAATCTAAAAGCGTTGGTGTTGGTTGCAGCCACCTGAATATCTTGAGACCAGCTCATACGAGAACTGCGGAGAGTTACGATGTGCTTTCATTGACCTGTCAACCCAATTGCGCTTCTCGGTGTCTGAACACTCCAAATTTCTGTCTGCCCCCCGCCCTCTTCATTGCTGGTTGTCTGTGAGCTTGCGAAGTTTCACAGGTATGAAGGCATTAGGCAGTTAGGCAGCAGTGCCGAGTGCATTGGAGTGCAGCTCTGATTTCAGCTTTTGGCCAGGTTCTTTATGCCACCAGCGAATTCAAGCAGACTACTGCCAAGGGCACAACTTCAGAGGGGCAGCCACCTGGAGCTGTGACTGAGCACTGCAGCTCATCGGCACACAGCTGCAACCTGGTAAAACAGAAAGAACAGCTGCGCCATTTGCGCCATTGTGTGCCAAACTTGCTTACGGGCGCCATCTTGCCCCGAACCACTCTTGGTGCGCCAAACTCGTCATTCAGCACCATGTTGTGCCTCAACACCAGAATTTGCAAGTGCGGAAAGCCATCATGCACCATGCCCAAAAACATGCCTGAAACGTCTTTTTTGTTGCATTGAAACAGTTATAGTTTCGGTTTCACTAAGCCTGTGATCGCTCCAGGAGCAGCTGTGTACTTTGATCCTTAGGGCGTGGTGATCGCGCTATATGTGCACGATCACGGCAGGCATCAGCACAAATGGCTCGTTACAGTTCTGCGTACTGCACTCTCAATGCAAAGACACTGCTGTGAGGAGAGAATCTCTCTTTGGCACGGCTGTATTTTTTTACACCAGCATTTTATAGAGTTAAGAGATATCTGATTTAAAAGAGTTGACTGTCAGCCTTACATTGTGTTGCTGTCGCATTCATTGCTTAGTTATTCTAAGAAACTGTTTTTTTTTAGAAAAGAAAAAAAGCGATGGCAGTAGTAATGGTGCTATAAAGAAGGGGGGTGTCTGGTTTTCAGAACAGTCTAGTCTTTCGTGTCCTTCTTGTGTCTCTGTCGTAGTTTTGCTCTCGCACTGTGACTATCGTCATCGTTAGTCTAGTGGAGTCTGGTGCACATAATGGCTCAGTGAGTGCATGCACGTATTCTCGTTCATTTGGCCACTTAGCCTCGTGCTTATCTCGACTTGGTGGGTGATGGTCGCTCGTTCAGGCAAAGAAAAAAAAATATGGTGGCTGTACATAACTAAGCCACTGTTGCACTACAGCGGTGAAACAATGAATGTGATAGCAGCAAATTGTAATGTTATACTAAATGAGGCGGGCAGCTAACTCATTTGCATCAGTTCTCACGTAACTGTACAAAACGCTAGTGAATGAAAATATGGCCACGTCAAGGAGAGCCACACTTTTCGCACAGCCTCTTCGCGATGAGAGTGCAGGACGTAAAAGCGTAGGCGAGCGGTTGATCGCTGCCGAGATAGCATGGGTGCCAGGGATCGCAACCACGCCCTCAGAAGCAAAGTTCATAATAGCTGGTCGAGTGAAACATGCCCCCCCCCCCCCCCCCCCTTTCTCGCTAGTTTTAGTGCCCTTATAAAACGAGTGGAGTGCTTCCTGTCTGCTTCGACAACTTTGAGCTGTCCGAAAGCCTGCGCTGCGGCGGTATAGGGTAGGTCTAACTGTCCTTACCTCCGAATTTTTAAAGTTCTTTGTACCGTATTGTACTGTGCCATGTTCATCTCCCTTGCTCGCACGCTTCTACTGGCGGATAGAACGTACAATGTACAAGGGTATGTTATCAATCGGTAATTTATACGGGACATGACAGCAACGGCAAAACCTGCTGGGAGTGTCCATATACGAATTTATATTGCAGCAATGAGGGTATCGCACAATTTATCTCAGTGTTTGAAAAGTGCAGCATTGTTGCTTTACAAGTGATTTGAGCGGTGCTGAATCTGCTCGGAATGTTCTTACTGCTCTAAACTTGTTCGAAAAGGCCTTTCTGGCTGCTCCAAGCCTGCTCTAAAACATCAGCCTGCTACAAAAAGCACTTCTGCCTGCTTCCAGGAGTGCTTACAAAACCATGTACCTTGTTTCAACCCTGGTAAAAGCACCGTAGCCTGGCTGTGCTGAGACTCTGTGTCGATATCTAGTGCCAGGATGTGGCAGCCGATGGCTGGGAGCATTCTCTACCCACATTTGTTAGAAAAGCTTCTTCCATGTTTGTTATTGACACCGGCATGTGTCGTTCTATATGCTCTAACAACACAACCATACCAGTGTTTCCAACCAATTTTAGAAAATACTCTACTTTACTCTACACAATTTGTTTTTTCACCATACAATTTACTCTCTGCCTAAAAGTAGTGCAATGTAAAAATTAAATATTCAGAGACCACACTTCACTGTACCACACGCAGACATGATGTGGTATTGTAGTGTTTAGCTACTTTGAAAATTAGTTTGAAAAAAGTTAGTAGAGAGAACGAACATGAAAGACATAAGAATGGAAAGAGAGAGCTCCGGTATTCGTATGGGAAGACCCACAGTTAATAAAAAGAACAAAGGGCACTCGGATGCTCTATGGATGGCAGTGTGAGTGATATGGTGACAAAAAGTGCAGAGAAAACATGGGAGTGGTGATAAATGTGTGTTGGATAGCAGTGCTGTGAGTAACGACCGAAAGGGAAAGACAATAATTTAAAGGGATACACCTTGCCATTTGAAGCGAAGCTGGGCTGCCTTAGTACGCATAGTTATAAAAAGAGATATAGTGAAGAAGAGAAATGCACATAGGAGGTGAAGGTAAGGAAACGATGGAGCATGTTGAATTGAATGTGATGACATAACCTGGGTCCGTGCCAGGGCGCTAGCCTAAATAAACCCTTGGGTTTTAGAGGGGAATTGGTGGCAGAAAGGTAGGGAGATTACAAAAAAGAAAAAAACAAGGAAAAGCCAATAAACAATTGCGATAAGCCTCATGAAATTAGGCTGTGAATTTAAGGATTTTTTTGTTGGATGAGGACCTTAATTTATTTAGAAAAGATTTTGCCATAAAAAAAATAATAACAATGAAGATTGTGAGCTTGGTGAAGCACAAGTTACCATCTCGTCAAAAAGAGGCCCGAACGCTTTTTCATCCACCTATTCACCGTCGTAAAAAAAACTCGCATGATTCCTTGCGCACTCACCTACAGTAACACGAAGGCAAAAATCTTGTTTTTTTTGTTGTTGTCTTCATCGACTGACTTGATCACTCTGCCCTCGAAAGATTGGTGTATTATATGTAATACTGTATTACCAGATATTGATCATTTTAATTCATGATCAAGGTTACAGGTGTACATATGTAACTTTGGCCTCTTCCAGATAATGGAACATGGACACAGTTGTGGCTCATCACAGACTACCATGAAAATGGCTCACTCTTTGACTACTTGATGAGGATACCAGTGGATATAGCAACAATGTGCAAAATGGCTTATTCCATTGCCAATGGTCTGGCACATTTGCATATGGAGATCCTTGGCACTCAAGGTAGGTCGCCTGAAATTCTCTCAATTCAAAGGTAGGCTTCAACAGACATCGTGAAATATTCTGGTCAATGCATCGTAATAACGCAATGCCTGTACCTTGAGCTATGAACACACCTCGCCTGTTTTCTTTTTTGGTTCAGTGCTTTTGTTATGTTTCTTTTTAAGCATACACGCAGCCTTAGCAGCTGCTTCTGATGAGCTGCCTGCATCATCCCATGTGATTCCGTGGTGAGCGCTCCCCCATTGCACCTGTTCCCAACATGCGGTAGTAGGTGTGGCCTCCACAATACGCCTGTTCTATTTTCCTGTGCTGCCCTCTAGCGTTTTGGTAGGGGCCAGGAGAACTGGCATTGCTAGAACCATAGAGTTTCCTATAAATACACTAGAGGGAACTCTCGTGCTGGTGTCTATGGGAGCTGCAACGCATAGCGTTTCAATAAGCATGGAAATTATGGGTATGACGTGGATTTGCCTAGTCTTCGTACATCAGGTTCGTTCTAGCTTCACGTGGCTTGAAGCTGCTTTGTCGTGAAACAACAATCGGCAAATGTTCAGCAGTTGCGCTTCACCACCTTAATCTTTTAGGCTTACCATTTCAAATCCGGTCACTAAGTTTGAAAGGGTTCGTTCTTTCCTTCGAAACAAAACTGAAACACAGCAGTAAACGTAGCCACAAGTGTGTTTGCTGCCCGCAAGCATAAAGACTAGGCAAATCCATGTCATATCTGTAATTCCCATGGTCGCTGAATGATTGCAGCACCTGTGTCCCCTCTAGTTAATTTTAGGAAACTCTATGGCTAGAATGAAGACCTTTGATACTAGGAGGTGTTTCGCAACTTTTCCGCTAAAGAAGGGCACATGCTCTTGGGCATTGTAGAAAACGTGGATTGGTTCAGGCAGAAAGTTCTCTGTATAAAGTAGAGGGATGTTCCACTAAAATAGTTATTGGAGGCATTGATCTCGATTAATGCTACTTTTATTCCACTGTCCAAAAGGATAGGTTTATCAAGTTTGATCAATGTAAAACAGTTTTGACAATTTCGTTCAAACACATTGAGCTGGTAGATCAGGTCGTTAAGATTTTTAGCAGACTGGTTTAAGCTCCTTGCATCAAGTGTAATTTATTGTAAGGCTTTAAACCTGTGAATCAGTACAGATCATGGTGCGACTGTTTTGAGTCGCTCCTGCTCATGACATGGGGGAGGGGGGAGCAATGTCACACAGTTGACTGATCTCATTGGATGTCGTTACTCTTCAAACTTAATTTGGTCAATGAGTCTTACGAAATTATGTCTTATCAAGCATTGGATGAGATGAAACACGGTCACGAATGTTTGATGAAATTATCTGAGGTTTCGGAACTGCATACTGGTTCCTTGATCACTGAATTAAACTGGATGTTGTCAGTAGGTGATACAAGTGTGTGTAAGTGGCAAGCGTAGTCACTGTTGTCTTATTTATTGTAGCTGGCATTGAATGAATGCTTAATGATTCTAGGAGCAAACGGGAATGACATGTTTTCTGTTTGTTTGTTTATTACTGTCAACCCCAAGCAGGGGGTTTTACAGGAGTGGAAACAATTTCACAAGATAACATACACTTAATGTGGCATTCAAAATAAAATAAAACTGAGGGATGTACACTTGCATTGTGTGCACTGAAAGAAAAAATTGAAAAGAGAATCAACGTGCGTCAACACAAGAATAAAAAGATAAATGCTATGCAGCATGTGTCTCTCTAAAGGTGCAGTAAAAGCATTGAAGAATTGATTATTGAACTTTGTTGCATTCTGTTATGGCCTCGGAAAGAAGCTGTGTTTAAAAAAGTGTCATTTCGGGTGACTGGCGGCTGTATGTACAAACTGCGTCTGTGTGTAGAGCATGGATCTGGGAAAGTTACGAAGAAATCTAATAAGTTACGTTTAACCTAGTTATGAATGATGAGGAATAGAAATTCTAAATGGTCACACTTGGTTCGTAGTTTTAAAGCGGGAAGGCTTGCATGGTTGCAAAGTTTGGAAGCAGGGTGTTGTACGCATTGATATTTATCAAATAGGAATCTGGAAGCCATCCTGTGTTTATATTGGTTTGATTTGATTAATTCATATGGGGGGTTTAACGTCTCAAAACCACTATGTGATTATGAGAGACGCCGTAGTGGAAGGCTCCGGAAATTTTGACCGCCTGGGGTTCTTTAACGTGCACCCAAATCTGAGCACACGGGCCCACAGCATTTTCCCCTCCATCGAAAATGCAGCCGCCGCAGCCGGAATTCGATCCCCCGACCTGCGGTTCAACAGCCAAGTACTTTAGCCACTAGGCCACCGCGGTAGGGCATTTATATTGGTTAGAAGCGGGGTGAGAGTCCCATACTGTCTTAGCATATTTGATTATTGATCATACTAACATTTTGTACGCCAGACTTTTCACCTTGGGTGTTGCGCCATGTAATCGTGCCTCAGGCCCCATAGAGTTTTATTTGCCTTTCTACAGGTGGAGTCTATAGGAGTGTTTCACCTCAAGTCTTGAGTAAATATTAGCCTTATGTATTTATATTCTGTTACTTTTTTTTAGTTGCCCCGCCGTGGTGGTCTAGTTGGTGGGAGGAGGTCAAGGCACCGCACTACGTAAATCACATCTCTAATTAATAAATATTGAAACGGTGTATAATCGACACTGTTTTGGAATATCTGTGAGCAGACACAGCATAAATGGGAATCCAGGTAAGACTGATAGTAATGCTAAAGATAACTAGATAGGGTCCTAGGTCTGCAAAAGAAAGTGGAACGCACTCAGATTCACTCAAGAAATATATTTCGCCCTCTGGACTCACTTGGACTTATCATCATCATCATCATCATCATAATCATCATCATCATAATCGTCATCATCAGCCTGACTACGTCCACTGCAGGACAAAGGCCCCCATGTTCCGCCAGTTAAACTTGGTCCTGTTCTTGCTGCTGCCAATTTATACCCGCAAACTTCTTAATCTCATCGGCCCACCTAATCTTCTCCCCCTAACCCGCTTGCCTTCTCTGGGAATCCAGTTAGTTACTTTTAATGACCAGCGGTTATCCTGTATACGTGCTACATGCGCGGCCCATGTCCATTTCCTCTTCTTGATTTCAACTATGATATCCTTGACCCCCGTTTGTTCCCTAATCCACTCTGCTCTCTTCTTGTCTCTTAAGGTTACACCTACCATTTTTCTTTCCATTGCTCACTGCGTCGTTCTTAATTTAAGCTGAACCCTCTTTGTAAGTCTCGAGGTTTCTGCTCTGTAGCTAAGTACCGGCAAGATACAGCTGTTATACACCTTCCTCTTGAGGGATAGTGGCAATCTACCTGTCATAATTTGAAAGTGCTTGCCAAATGTGCTCCACCCCATTCTTATTCTTCTAGTTACTTTAATCTCGTGGTTCGGCTCCGCGGTTATTACCTGCCCTAAGTAGACATAGTCTTTTACAACTTGAAGTGCACTATCACCTATCTCGAAGTGCTGCTCTCTTTTGAGGTTGTTGTATATTACTTTTGTTTTCTGCAGATTAATTTTAAGACCCACCTTTCTGCTCTCCTTGTCTAACTCCCTAATCATGAGTTGCAATTCGTCCCCTGAGTTACTGAGCAATGCAATTTCATCGGCGAAGCGCAGGTTACTAAGCTACTCTCAATTAACTCGTATCCCTAACTGTTCCCATTCTAGGCTTCTGAAAACCTCCTGTAAGCACGCGGTAAATAGCATTGGGGAGATTGTGTCCCCCTGCCTTACACCCTTCTTGATTGGTATTCTGTTGCTTTCTTTATGAAGCACTATGGTAGCAGTTGATCCCCTGTAGATTTCTTCCAGAATGTTTATATATACTTCATCTACGCCCTGATTCCGCAGTGTCTGCATGACGGCTGATATTTCTACTGAATCAAACGCCTTCTTGTAATCTATGAAGGCTATGTATTGTGGTTGGTTATATTCTGAGCATTTATCTATTACCTGATTGATAGTATGAATGTGGTCAATTGTTGAGTAGCCTGTTCGAAATCCTGCTTGTTCCTTTGGTTGATTGAGTTCTAATGTTTTCTTTACTCTGTTAGCAATTACCTTTGTAAATAGCTTGTATACTACAGAGAGCAAGCTGATCGGCCTGTAATTCTTCAAGTCCTTGTCATCTCCTTTCTTATGTATTAAGATGATGTTAGCGTTCTTCCAAGACTCTGGTACTCTTCCCGTGAGGAGACACCTCGTAAACAGGGTGGCTAGTTTTTCTAACACAATCTGTCCTCCATCTTTCAGTAGATCTGATGTTACCTGATCCTCACCAGCAGCTTTGCCTCTTTGCATGCTCTCCAAAGCTTTTTTGACTTCTTCTATCATTACTGGTGGGGTGTCATCTGGGTTACTGCTAGTTCTTATAGTATTAAGGTCGTGGATGTCCATGTCCTTGCTACTGTACAGATCTCTGTAAAACTCCTCCCCTATTTTAACTATCCTATCCATATTGGTAGTTATTTTGCCTTCTTTGTCCCTTAGTGCATACATCCGATTTTTGCCTATCCCAAGTTTCCTCTTCACTGCTTTGACGCTTCCTCCGTTTTTCAGAGCGTGTTCAATTCTCTCCGTGTTATACCTCCTTACATCGCATACCTTACGCCTATTAATCAACTTCGAAAGCTCTGCCAGTTCTATTTTGTCTGTTGTACTTGAGACTTTCATGATTTGACGCTTCTTAATGAGATTCTTCGTTTCCTGGGAAAGCTTGCCAGTGTCCTGTCTAACTACCCTGCCTCCAACTTCCACTGCACACTCTGTAATGATACTCGTCAGATTATTATTCGTTGTATCTATGCTAAGGTTGGTTTCTTCACCAAGAGCCGAGTTCCTGTTCTGAAGCGAGACTCTGAATTCCTGTACTTTCCCTCTCAGTGCTAGCTCATTTATTGGCTTCTTGCGTATCAGTTTCTGTCGTTCCTTCTTCAAGTCTAGGCGAATTCGAGACCGTACCAT